GGGGGGGAGGGGGTGTGTGTCTCAGACTGGGTTGTATTTTACTTTTTTAAACCTTGCATCTTGAAATCTTTCTAGGAGAGCTTGCTATCAAGCTATGCAGTGAGAGGGCTGAATGGAGTTGGGTGGAGGAAAGAAGTTTGCATTGCTATGAAAAGCTGTGAAGGGGATTTTGTGTTTTGTTTTTTTTTCCTCTGTGGTAGAATTGCTCTGTTTTGTTTTGATTCTGTTTTTGGCAGCTGTGCTCGACCCATGAGCTGATCTTATCTGAATAGCTGTCTATACTGGAGGAGCTACATATGAAGTCGCGGTGCACCATCTGCATTCTCCTTACACTTGTAGCAATGTTGTCTGACAGCTTTATTCAGTGTCTGTATGTGGATGTTGAGAAGAAGATGGAGAAGTGATCTTCCTAAGAGATCTAATGATAGAGATGCAGTTCTTTCAGTCTCTCTGTTGCATGCATCATTACAAAAAGAATATAAGCCATTTTACTGTCACCTTAGACTTCTACATTTTTCGTTAGAGGGAGTATTGATTTTTCTCATCAGTAGTTTTGAAGGTTGCTGAAGGGTACAGGAGTATGAGAACTGACATTTTGTCTCTGGTCAGTGCTGGAGGATCATCTATCAGGTTAGTTTCAAGTCCATGATAGATTATGTCAGGTTCAGAATACTTGCTTAAATCAGGTGATTTCTGAGTTAGTTCTTGATAACCTTTCCTAGACCTTGACACTGGAAGGATCAGTGATTACAGATCAGATCAGGACAGACAAGGGAAACATTTGACTGTACTCCAGTAGATCTGTGACTTTAGATGGCTGCAGAAATAGAAGGTATGATAATTACATTTCCCTTGTAGGTTTAATAACAATTATCAAATTTTAATTCCAGGCTTTGCAATCAGTTCTGACTTCTGAGAAATCGGTGTCTGAAATACCTGAAGCAATGGATGACTTCTTTTGCAATTTCCTGGTCAGACTTGGAATGTCCAGAACCCTCGATTGCTTCCAAACTGAATGGTAAAATATTTTAAGTGACCCTGTTTCTTTGAGAATTAGGAAGCAGATGTTCAGGATTCAAATATTTCCAGTATTTCAGGATATATTTCCAGAACACTCTTCTGAGTACGAGACATTCTTAAATACGTAGTGTTTTACCAAATAAGTGTATTCATATTGAAAATGAGGGTGCAAACTATTGTTTTAAGGACAGGCTTTCAAGAAAGCTGACGCCAGTGAGCTCCTAACCAGGTACCTTTGAAGGACTGTATGTATTTTACCGAACTGTAGACATTTATGAGCCTGAAGTGGTCACCTGGGGCCTCTTTTGTGACCAGTGAAGAGAAATAGTAATTTTTCAGGATGCAACTCAGATGGGTTGTTTAAGCTATCTCCTTTAAGGTGAAATGAATTCAGTGATATTTTCTCAATAATATTGTGCTCTCCAGTGACTACCAATGGAAACTAGATACCAGTTGCAGTGCAGAAGTCATCATTGGATCAAATGAGTCCAGTGCGAAATGACCAGCATTTCATTTCAGCAGTGCTGAGAAACTATGCGGCTTTGTTATTTTCTTGCTTTCCACAACCTGGGTGCCTGCTTAACAACTTAATGTTTTGTAGTATGGTATAGTATTTTCACCCTACTTGTTTGAGTATTTTTGGACATGTATCATACATACATTGTATTTTGAAACAAAGTAATCACAGTTGATACTTGGGTCATTTTGATATACCAGTCAAAATAATATGGTTGGTTAGTTTGTTTTTTCCTTTTTAAAATTTAATTCATATAGTAATCAGAAGAGTAAACTCTTGATCTGTTGCTATCTTCTTTCCCCCAGATTTTATAGATTGCAGAGATTTTGACCGTACTTCTTGCAGAAGTTTAAAAAGGCAGCTCTGTTTAAATACTCTGCTTTCACCACCACTCTCTTTATATATGGAATCCCACAGGATGTATGCTTTTTTAATACTGATAAAGAATGGTGTGCTAGGAGTGCTGCAAAGCTTGAGAGCTGGATTATTTTGGAGCAAAAGATTGCACTTGTCATAAAGTTCGATTGAAATACTTTCAGTTACAAGCTTGCTTTGAATCTACAAGTTACGTTGGAAAGATTCTGAGAGGTGGAAACACCTCCCTGAATTATCTTGTAGTCAGTCTTTAAACATCAGAGGTTCAGAGATTTGTTAATAAGGTCTCTTGAAATGGTTTAATTTGAACATTTGTAAATATGAAAAGTTAGAAACATTTTTTCCTATGAAAGCCTTGAAGCTTTTCAATTTTCTTAGAAATATTCTCTAATGGGAAATCATTGCTGTCATTTGCAAGGCTGTGCTCTTATTAGCGTAGAGCTCACCAATCAGGCCTTGCCTTTGGAATTAATAATGATCTGGCTTTTGATAGCGTAACAGTGGGACTTATAGTGCTCCTTCTCTAAGGAATCATTTAGTTCTGTGTTCTTTTTCAACAAGAGAACTGATATGAATAGCATTAAGTTTGAAGAAGTTTAACAGTTTTTATGGCAAGAGATAATTAATACTAGACAGATATAAATAGCGACCTTTTTATGAAACTGCAGCTTTCTTTGAAGCACTTAGAGTCTGACTTTATGTCAATGGCAAAATTCAAATTGCTCTTTGCAAGAACAGATCTTAGCAGGCCCTATCTTGTAAATCCTTAGCTATACATATATTTTCCTCTATAAGTAATATTTTTAATTTCAGCAGATTACAGATGAGCTCAACATGTCAGGATCTAATCTTACTGTATTGAGACTTTCTGCATTAATACCTTATTTCAAAGTGTTTCATGTTGGTATGAAATAGATAATTTACAATATTAATGAAACTGAGAGCAGATTAGTGTACTCAGCTTCCTCATTATGTATTGGGACGACACTCTTGCTTTCATGCTGTGGTGATCAAGTACTAATGGAATTTAAAATGACAAATTAATTAACGTAGGGAAAATTTATCAAAAAGCTTGCTTTGGAATAATTGTCTGCCTGAGATCTAAAGGTCACTTAAATTGGACCAAATTATCTGTGTTTATTTCAGAGTTTGAGAAAACATTCTGTTATTCTATCCAGCTCTATAAAATGTCATTATTTGATTGTATTTTATTTTAAGCCAAACACAGTCTTTTTCTATGATATAATGAATAATTTTATCACACGTGCAGTGATTTTTTTTTTTTCTTCCTTCCCTTTAGGTAGGTTTTTTGCACATAATCTTTTTTCTTCCAGTTATACTTTAAGGACCTTAAAAACAGATTAAATTATTCTTGGAATATCTAATTTACCATTAAACTTTCTATTCCTTTGATATGCAAGACTTTATAGTGCTTTTGTTTATTAAAGATACTGGATTGACAGCTTTGGAGTAGGAAGTGCAGGAGCTGATCAACTGTAAATTCATGCATCCGACAGTCTGTACTTCCTAATTCCAAAGAGCTCACTGCTGCTGGCAGCATTTTGCCAGTCTGATGAGCAGATGAATCATTTGCTGTTTACACATACGCACAGAGCTATCACTGAAATTAGATAGTGTAGTCATTGGATGGGTAATCTCTAAGTGTTCCTAGAGACCAGGCAGTGGTTCAGTTTGTGAATAAAAGGAGAGCTGCAGACTAATTATGGAAACATAATTTGAAAATTCTTTGCTGTTTGATGTGGTTAAAATTATGAATAAATTTAGGTGACCAAGGAAGGTGAAAAGCCATGTCTCTTGCGTATGCCTTGCAAAGATGGCCTGGGTTGTGCATAGCAGAGCCCATGCAACAAAGCTACTGTGTGTTTGCTCTGCATAAAGGCAGACTCATGACAAAAAAAAATTTCCTTCTTGTGGAATGAAGAAAATGGATATAGGTTGTGATCCTCCATGTCACAACTCCCTGAAGACAGTGGAAACAGTCTGTTTTTTTCAGGCAGACCTAAGTTTCCTCTGCTCTGTGCCCTCTTTGGCCTGGAAATCATACAGTCACATTAAATGTACGTTGTGCTCTGAGTTCATGCATCCTGAGAGAAACAAGGCTTATCAGTTCCAGGACAGCATCACACTAAAACAGATTCAGTTTTTGGATTAGAACTGGCTCAGAATACAAGTGAAGTAACCTCAAGTTTTATTTGCAAAAGGCCATGTGGACATACCTACTTTCTTGCATATGTAACAAGCATAACGGAATAATATAAATTTTCTACTTATGTGCTACTATTGATTGGGGGAGTGCACTGGGGCAAAAAAAGTGCTTTATTTTACTGTGCTCATTTCTTAGCCTTCTGTTGAAACTGTTTAAGAGGTTATCAGTTGGAATGATAATTTTCAGTAAGAAGCTCTTGTAAAAGCTAAGACTTGTAATTTTAATCCCTGAATGCATCTCTGGGTGAGTTATCCCTTGGTAAAGGATTAACCTGAGCTACATACCAGTTAGTTTATTGCAAGGCCTTTCTGCAACATGATTCCTCCAGAACCCTTAGAAACTTAAAATTTAATGTAATATATATAGTAGTAATGTATAATTTTTTAGTTGGTCGGCACTGGGCTTTGATCATAAAATTATAGTTGCCCCTCTGTTCCTTAGGTTTCCAGATTCTTGGTTAATTTTAAATAGCTATTCAAAAATAATAACTCAGTTGTTCGGAAAACCTTAGCAAAATGCTTGTGACTGCTTGGAACTAACCAATTTAATTTGCATCACAGTTCCCTTCTGTAATGGAAAGAAGTGAGGACAATAGCTATTTGGCAATCAGCTAGGTATGTAGGAGTTCTGCGAGTTTTACAGGACTGGGTTGATGAAAGATAATGAGATTTCACAATGCAATTTTGTTGTGTGGTTTTCTATTCCATTTCTACTACATGCACAAAGGCCTTCATATTTAGTAGTGCTGTTAGACAAGAGCATAGTAAATTTATCGGTAATAATTGTATTTCATTAAAATTGTCTTTCAGAGCTCTGATGGAGGCTAAGTTCATCAATTATCCATGTCTGATGTGTCTTTGTGCAGAAATTTGATGGTTTTCATGAAGTGGAGTTAGGGCGTTCAGTGGAGAAATTTTTCTGGCAAATAAAGGAGTATGTAGAGTTTGATCATTTGCAATGAGAAGTGCGCTTATTGTGGTTGCAATAGGAATTGTACCTGCTCATCTGTCAATGTTTATTTGAAAAAAAAACAAAACAGCAAGAAGAACAAAAACAAACAAAACCAACCAAGCTTTTTTCTTGGTATTAAAGCCAGTTGCTCCTGTAATTTACTTAAGAAAATGAAGTGATGATAGAATAAATTTTGCTTTGGACATGTTAGTGTAATTTTTCAATAACCTTTCATCTGCTGGTGGTGATTGTGAGTGACAGCTTAATTCATAGGGATGAGCTTTCCTAGAAGTATCCACAGAAAGCAGATAAGTAGCTGCTGACTGTAGGAAGTAATTTGGACATAAAAGTTTATAACATTCCACTTAAGGTTTGGGTTTTTTTTTGTTTGGAGGATGTTAAGAAAGAGCTGCTTGTCCAGAAAGAATCCCTTACTCTACAAACACTTTTTTTTTTTTCATCTAGGAATGCTGTGCTTACTGTCTTTGTTTCAAATCTGCTGCTTGTGTCCAAGTGCAGGACATAGCATTTAGTATATTTTTGTCTCTAATTATTGTTGTTATTTTCATACTTCCTTATTACTTGGGAAAATAAAAGAGCACAGATTGAATATATTTTTCCCTTGAAAAGGCAAATAATGTTTCTATTATTCCTTCTGGTGAGTTCCCACCCAGAACATCTTCCAGCTGCAGTCAAGACCAGAAGGGAAGAAGATTGTGGGCCTGTAGTTTTATCTGATATAAATTATTTATAGCTCCGTTGAACCTTTGCTGAACTGATGTTATGGCTACAACAGTGCACAATGTCTTAGTCTTCAGTGGGTCTATAAAAGTTTGTACCAACTGACGGTCTTGCTCTTCTGTCTTCTGGGACAGAACTAAATGAAGAAGTAGATGTTTTGCACATACACGTACTGTATTCTGGAATCTCCTCTGCAATATCTGCTTGCACAGAAGCATCTTATCCTTGTCTACATAGGCTTGAATCTTGATGTCATTAGGAATAATTTGACAGATACTGATAGCTTATAATCGTTCCTTGAACAAGCATGATTCTGCAGAAGCTTTATTTATTTTGTGTGGTGGCAGTCACGTTTTTTCGATCAAATTTAGCTTTTCTGAGTCCTTTCTAATATCACTGATGTGTTTTTTTTTTTTGGTTGGTTGGTTTTTTGTGTAGAAGACACTTAAGTACTTAAGGTGCTCTGTATTTAAATGCCTTTAACCCTAAAATTAATTGTGTCAATGCCTACGTGCTTTTTGCTCCCTGTTAGAGTATTCTTACTTTTTGTTGACAACCTACCAAAGATGGATCATCCTAAAAGATATGACAATGACTGAGCAGACTTTATTGCCAGGGGCTATTGAGATTCCTAGGTTGCTACACAGCATTACATGCTGCTCCAGATTCCCTTTTATTTTTCAAAATGCAAGTTAGTCTGTACACATCTTTAACTAAAGCAGCCTTTAGGCTTCTACATCACAATTATGTTTTCTTGGGGGCTGGTAAAATAAGTAAATATTGGTAAATATAATTAAATGAGGCAAGGGCAATGTAAGTAAACAGGAAGCAATGGAGAAATTTCCCAAGGTGACCTCTGCATTCCATGTTAAAGATAGCTCATAGAATTATTCATCCAGGTTATCTACAGCTTTGTCATCTTATTTGAGTCCTCAAAAATAAAAGATCTTGAATATATTTGAGCATATGAGATAAAAAGAACTGTGTGTATATACAAATGTTTGAAGAAGAATATTTTTTCTGTCTTTTAAGCTATTTGGAAGAAAGGAAGGAAGAGAACAATTGTTTAAATTGAAGTACTGTGTCATACAGGACGTGTCTTTTGACTATTATGAACAATAATACATTTTAGAATGAAAAAGCCGTAAAATAGTGGTGGGGTAGTACTGTTGGTAACTGTTAATGAGATGATAAATGTCTTTGTGATTCCGGTTTAGGTAAATGCTAGCGTGAAGAGGGAAACATCAGTGAAGTGAGAAAAAGGGAACATGGAATAAAATATCTCTCCATTTATTTTCTTCTAGGTATGAACTCATAGAGAGAGGGGTGTTCACAGCCAAAGACGTTGAATTGGTTCCAACTGTGTATACCCGCAACCAGCAACTTGAGACTGAGAATAGGCACTTGAGGAAAGATTTGGAAAACTATAAACTTGCTGCTAAGTATGTTGTTTGATCTTAATGAAACTTTGATCTACAGTAGTAAATGGCCAGATAAAGTAAACCCAAGTACTTAGTGGAAATAATAAGTTGCTGTGTGTTATGCTGGCTGTGCATATTTTCACTTCTAGGTGACATTTGTAATTAAAGTTCAATTTTCTCTGAGCTCTATTAGAAACCTAAATCTTCATTTCTTTTATTTGTATTTACTGGCCTATAGAAAACAATTTTCAATATCCAGTAATCACAATGAATTACTACAAAGAATCATGAGAGTATAATATGTAGAACTAGAAAATAGTTATGTGCATTTGGTATTAAAATACAGTATTATAAATTACAGCCACCACAAAACATCAACATAAGAAAAAAATCACTATACATTTATTCTTAATTTTTTTTAATTGCAAAAAATCTATTACTGCGGCCTTAGTGGTAAATGGTATGTCATTGATTATACTCGTGTGTGTGTTGTAGTAGCTGATTTTGAGTCACTTATACTTCAGTCGTATGAAAGTGAAAATATTTAGCCTATATAACGGAGAGATGCAATAATGAACTACATGTAACCTAACCTCTTCTGAGGAATGGTATGCCTGAACACATATGTATGCGTTCATTGAGAATTTATCCTGAGACTTAATAACTCATTTGGATTTTGCCAGTGCATAGTTTTAAAATATGGAGCTGTAAAAAAATGTTAACTCCATCGTTTTGATTTTCCTCAAGATTTCTCAAGCTACTAATTTTCATTTAGATAGTTCTTTTATATGAAAAGTAGCTACTCATATCTTAAATAAGCACTGCTGCTGATAATAACATTATTTTTCAATGATAATGATTTGTTATATTTCAGATTAATTGTTCATAGCCTACTAGTTAAGTAAACAGCTTTAATCATCAAGTCAAATGTTGAGTAGTCTGAATACACTGTTGCACTGGGAGATGGGCCATGTAGAAAACTTTCCTTTATATTAATCTGCAGCTTCTTTGGACAATGAATAGTTAGGGATTGTGTGTCATTTGAGTGGGAGAGTAAAAAGCAGTAATGCATTGTAAAAGAAGGAAAGACAAAATCTGATCCTTCTGAAATGTATTATTGTCAGTGGTAATTTTAACAGGCTTTCCTTTATTTTTTCCCCCCACTATTTTTCTTCTTTTTTTTTCCCTGCCTGTATGAAGCAGAACATGCTATAACAAGATAATCTAAGTGGATTATGACTTGATAAGTTTTCCTGTGTTTGCATAGCTACGTGATTGTTTAAGAACATAAAGCTTAAAACCATTTCCCTGTGATCATGAATGAGTTGGGTTTTTCCCATGGCTATATATTCTATGAGGTGCCAGAAAATTTTTTATACTAGATGTCTAGTTAAAAGGCTGAAAGATTCCATGATCTTGTGCAACAGGAAGAAAGCAGGAGAGGGAAAAGACATTGCCAGTGTGCTAGGTTCCTACAGGCTGTCTGTTAAATACAACTCCCCACACTCACTTCAGTGAACTGTGCTAAACAAATAAATAAATCTATGACCTGAAGTGTTTGATGAAACCTAAAATAGCAATGCTCTGGTGGTAAACAAGTGAGTCATGTCACCTGTTTGGTATTCCAGAGAGGGCGGTGAGATGCAGGGCAACTCTATATGACGTGAGTTAGAAGTGGGTAAATTCTGTTTACTGGCATTTAAATACTGTACTTATTCTGCATGTACCTTGTTAAAACACTATTAAAATTAGTCCTTCTCTCCCCACTTGTAGGGAGAGCTTTATTTTCTCAAGTCTTTCTTCTAGTGTTAGAATGGAGTATATGTAGATGAAAAACTTGTTTTGTGCTAATGGTCAGTACTTCATTTTTCAACCTTTTTGTTTCAAGTAACTTTAAAAGTTTTAATTGATACTAATGTTGAAAGTTCAGCACTTCTGTGGCATTTACTTTGCTTATTTTGTTTTGGATAATTTATGAGTTAAATCAGCACTGTTTCTGGCATAATGAGTGACATTGAGCATTTCTGCTGTATGTAATGTGAGTTACAGTGTTTCTTTATCTCTTTTGGATGAACCCTGATCATAATACTCTATACTAAATCCATTTACTCTAGTGACTGTTAACAGCATTTTTTCTTGTTCCTACATTCAGTAACTGTAGTCAGTACCCTTGCTATGATAAAGCAAATATTCCACCAGGAGCCAAAATTATCTGGAGGACAATTTGAGTTTTCAAGTGTTGTGAGAGAGAATTCACCAGCTTACACAGAGGCCAGAATGCCTAAAGAGCACTGAAGAAATGCTGATTTAACTGGTTAGAAACAAAGGATTTGTGAGCAAAGAAACTCATTTTGCTATATGTATTAGTCAGAAAGCTTTAATTGTGAGATAAAGAGCTGTAAAGTGTATTTGAAGAAAGCTTTTAATTATCTTTGGTAATTCTTCTTGGTACTCTTGACAACCCTCTTGCAGAAAAGAGATGTTATTTTGGACTTAGGCAGTATGAGGTCCTAGGATAAATGACTGTAAACCAATTACCTCCAGCTTTAATGTTGTTTAGCAGCTGATGGAAGAGATTCAGTGTCTGGAAGCTAAGTAAGCTGGAAGCTAATTGTATTTTGGGTATTTTAATATAGTATTTACAGGATTGTGTGGCAAGCAGGTGGAAAAATAGAGTAGGTTGCAGGCTGTTGGTTACATTTCACTGTGGTGTTTCATTATTTAAACAGAAAATCACAGTCTGCTTCACTTCCTGTGTACAACGAGTGTATATTTTTAATAGGTTGTCCAATGTGTGAAGGCATCTTGAGATGTAACAAAAATCTCTGAATGCATCTATTAAAAGAAATAAATGTCAGCATAAGTATGTTACTCCAAAGCTAGCGATAGTTATTACCTTAAAGTTTAGATACACTATTAACCTTTATTTAAATTATTTCTAAAAACACGTCTTATAATTGAAATAAAAACTAATTTTGTGTTGGTTTGTGATGTGACAGTGGTTAAAGTGTACCTTAAGTGTACTCCCTTTCTGTGTCTTTTATCTTGAAGGCTACAGCTGAGCCCTGATTGATTGCTAAGGGGTGTTGTTATCTGCTGCACTATTTATCAAATGGAGGCATAGATATTCCTTCCAATATGCAAGAGAAATTTGAAAACAACATGTCAGATAAATTGTTAACTCTTCCAGGAGACCTGTTAAGTTTAATTCATTGTCTTCAGTGATGATTTGTGTCATTCAAGCCTGTAATATTCTAATATGTGCTTGCAAGTTGAATAATAGATTGTAATTTTATAGTAGTATTAAGCTCTGCCTGTGTGGTGATTTTAAATAGCTTGTGTCCCATATATTTTGGTGTTTTTCTGTGGCTAGACCCTTTGTATTGCCTTTGTATTTTAATGTGTAGGTAGATAATGGTATATCAAGTTTAAGACTGTGTTAATCACAGGGACTGCTAACTGTGCTGTTAGTAAATTCTCTAAACATTTAGGAATTTATTAAGTAGATGGAATGAAAGTTGTGTACAGCTTGTGTCTGAGGTTTGTAGCTGTGTTCACCAACATCAGTTAAGAAGTTTAAATATTTGCAGTTATCTTTCTGTCCCGACTTTTTGAAGCATGCTCACAAATATAAACCCAGTTTACAGCCACAGTAACAGTCAACGTATAAAGCAATCCTGGAAATCATATTTATTATTACTGTTAGTGCTATCACCAGCAATAAAGTCCTCAGCTGATCTCCTATTCCTGTGCCAAAATCTAACCATTCCCACACATTTCTCCACTTGTACAATGAAAAAAATGAAGTGCATACTTTTTCTATTGTGCACCACATGTAAGTGCATCTGTTTAACTACATGGTATGTCTAGCATCCTTGCTACTAAATGCTATAACCTAGATACAGTAAAAACATGAGAGCATATTTTCTAAAACTGTCTTTATTTTATTAAAAATTTCAGGCCACAACTTGCAGCATTTCGGGGATTAAAGTCCCACCTAAATTCAGTGGGAACAGGGCATGTAATTCACCTTTGAAAATCCGTACTTGGTTTTGTTGGACCTTGCCCTCTTCTGCTATTTTTATCGAACTACTTGTTTGAGAAAAGTTTAAATGGGGAGACCTGCAGTCTTTGACATACATCTTAACCAAAAGAAATGGATATTGGCTTTGCTATGGCTATAACAACATCTTTTACTCTTAGAACAAGCCATCTGCTTAGCTCTGGAGGGGCAGGTTTTGTATTCAAGATCTTATGGCAAGTCAGATTTTGTGAGTAGTGTCATGATGGAGTTGTTTTGCAGAACTATCCTGAGACAACTGATTCATTTATCTCTCAAGTCTTTTGCTGTTCGTAGGAGCTTGAGCAGGATCATAATCTGTACTTTGTATCCCATGCCGATATCCTAAATTACTCGGTTTCACAACTTGTGATATTTGTGTCTATGCATCCACAAAACTCTGTGCATGCCCACAGCAACTGTCAGCTTTTCGGTGTTAACTGCAGCGGCAGCCTTGCCTGTTTTCATTTCCCTGCTAGCTTTTTCTCAGCTTTGGCTGATATATAGTGGCATTAATTTACTGTGCTGCTCTTCAGGTCTTTCTCACTGTTTCTGTTACAAGCAACAATTCACACACCAATGTGCACAGAGAAATATGGTTGTTTGTAGAGGTAATAAGTATAGTAAAAGCATATATAGTAAATATGAATTATTTGGATAATTAAATTTAATGCACTGGCAGTTATGGGTCTTCTGCCTGGGCCTGTGATTTTGGCATACTGCATTGTCACAGTCTCTTCCCTAACTCTCCAACTCATGTTGGAGAGGAAATGAGCTTTATTTTTGCAAAGAGCAAATATGTAATTTCTGTGAAAGGCAATTTCAAGCATTCTTTGCAATTACACAATTCATCTGCTAATCTTCCCTGCCAAACCCATATCAGTAAAGGCAAGGAGAAAATCTACAGAATATATAGAGAGTATTTTCTTTTATGTTTGTGGAGCAGAATATCTCAGGGTGTCCCATGGCTGTGTGTCAAAAATGCTTAGAGAATAACAGGTTATCAGTATGTTTGCAATTAATTTTGAAACTGATTTATTTTCCTTCTTGTTGTCACGTACAGCGGATAGGCTGCAAACACGCTTGAATAGAGCCTAGAACTTTTCTAGCACAGTCTTTTCCAGAAGCTCTCTAGATGCATGTATTTGCAAAGCAATGATAGTTATCCTTCTGTGTCCTTCTAGCATGTACTGTTATGTTGGGCTTCAGACACTGTGTAGATGTTAGAAAATCAGTATTGCAATACATTTTCATGTAGGATTTTAAACCCACAACAAACTGTTGTTTTCTAATCACCTGTGATTTGAATGTGTGCCCCCACAAGACCTCTTGTTCTTAAAGTAAGGTTCACATCTGAGATTTAGAATGCCAGGATCCTTATGAATTCTATCCAAAGGAACTGAGGAGAGATAATGGTGAAGGGCACCCATGGTTTTGTACATCAGCTGTCAGCAAAAAGACCTCAAAGGTACACGTTCTCCACCACAGGGCACACTACCAAAAGTTTCCAGCTTTGCTACAGAAGGCATGTGCATATCTGAAAATTAATTCTATGTGTATTCAACATATTGTGTTGAGTAATTAATAGGAGGAGATGAATATTTCTCTTACATGTTCTTTTTACATATAGCGAAGCAAAAGAGGCTTTCCTAAAAATGCAGAAAGAATGTGACTTCCATCGAATGCATCATAAGCGAGTGGTCCAGGAGAAAAACAGGCTTATTTCTGACATTAAAAGGTAAAAAATACTTTCAGCTACCATACATGTGACATTAAAGATAATGTCTTCAATTGTTGCCTGGTAAAAAGATAGTATTGTGGAATTTAAAGTGCTGAAGTAAAGCTAGCTGCATTTAGTTAGTGTCCTGCTAAACACAAGTTCCATGTGACTATTCTGTCGTGTCTCTTAATTTCTGATGTGTGTCATTTTAAAAAATATTTTCCATGGTGTCATGTGGCATTAATAAATACATAATATTGATAATAGTTGATTTTTTTTTACCCAGACCTTTTTCCATAAATATGTAGTGATTTCTGGGTTTAGATCCTTTATCCGTTTTAAAGGTATGTGGTGTCACACTGGGTTCAGAAGCTTTTCATTCATGATGTCCATTGCTGGTATTTTCTGTCCTTTTACATATTGAACTTCCTATATGAAATTTGCTATGTTGCTTCGGTTGCAAATAAGCCCAAACTTGTCCACTGGCATTGAGTTATAATAGTTTATAATATTTAATTTCATACTCTTGTCAATCTGGAATTCTGTAAGTTTTCTATTAACTGTTATGCTTCTTTCCCTCTACAAATAGAACTTTTATATTGTCCATTTGAAGATCACTGAGCCAGGTGAAAGAGTTAAGTTTAGAATCTCTTCTTTGCGCATGTTTGTGCCATCACTTGTTTCAAAATAGCATTGGGAATTGCCTTACATCTGCAGCTCCAAACAAGTCACAGGAATCTGGCTTGTCAATATTGTTATCAATAAATGCATGTAATAGCAACTGCATATTCTATGTCTTTAACCTTGAAATCCATACATACTAGTGCAAGAGAACAGTAGTCAGTGACTTATCCTCTGTGTCAGCTTTTTGCAAAATGCAGTATTTTTGAAGCTCAGTGTCCTGTGTTTCTCTTGAGAGATTATATATCTAACTTTCAGTTCTTCTGAGGATTTAAAGTCGTTGAGTATTCTAAAAGTAATGTGCAGTGAAGAAAGAAATAATAATCATATTGAGACTGTCTTGTCTAGATTAGGATCTTAGTAGTTGGATAATAGCTGTAATTCTTTCTTCCACTGTAATATCATCCACCTGCAAGAAAACAGAAATTAACAACACTGAATGTGCAATATATTTATGAAGGATTAAGGACAGTTCAAAACTGGATGGATTGTTTAAAAAGATAAGACTGAATAAGCTACGAAACCTCTTATTGATCTGATTTGTTATTTTTTTGTTTTCTTGTGATATTCCTCTTGGGTGGTCACATACTAAATACCTTTGCCTGTCTCCTTGGTGTTGACCTTTTAGTGCTTTTTTCTTTTATGTGTTATGTTACACAGACATAAATCTCTGGTTTAACTCATCTTTCAGGAATCATTTGTCCTCTTCTTGTTCACAGGCTGAAGGCACATTATGCATCATATGAACCAGTGCTGAAGCAGTTGACTGAAAAATACCAGACTACACTGAGACAGAAGATGTTAACTAGTTTGGAGAGAGACAGAGCGGTTGGGCAGGTAAAACTGTGGTGAATACCACTTCCAAAGCTGTAAGGAATGCTTTTGGTTTTTACTTTGTTAAATACATAGGATATTTCTGTTAAAACAACCCACTTATGCAGTAGTTTGAAGCAGAATGTTTTAGTGAGTTTCATGTTTTTTTGGTGAAATGTTAATATTGAAAGTTTGTGAAACTTAGTGCCACAGAATAGTGATTCTCAGTCTGCACTTGCTCTGTGCTGCTCTCCATGAGTCAGCAATGTGCAGACCTTGTTGTACTTTCAGTGTCAGCAACTTGGGGAAGGGTGTGATATTCTCACAGATTCATATGCTTCCATCTATGCTTTTAGAAATCTGTTATTTTAACTTTCTTTATTACTTTTTGCTATTTTATTTTTTCCTAAATATGTCCAGGAATGACCTACTTGTTTAGGAAAAAATACATTAAGGTATCAAACACAGTTTTTCTGTCTTGTGAGTTGAATAACAGAGTAGTATTTTACTCTGATAATCTTATCTGACGTCCAAATCATAGAATCATTAAGGTTGGAAAAGACCTCAAGGATCATCAAGTCCAACCATCAACCCAACACCACCTAACCCACTAACCATGTCCCTAAGCACCACATCTACATGTTTCTTGACCCCCTCCAGGGATGGTGACTCCACCACTTCCCTGGGAAGCCTGTTCCAATGCCTGATCACTCTT